AATTCATGTGGTTAAAAAAACAGCCTAAATTTTTTTTTTAAAAAAGCATGAGTTGAAAAACTTAAAACAAAGATGATTTTAAATGCAATTAGAACTCCTTCCCAATACATATCAAAGGTGTCTGTCACAACTGCTTCTTGACTGAGAAGTTGGTGTTTTTGGATTTGGGTCTTTAAACCGAAAAGCCTATCTTGAGATGGCACTATAAGGAGTCTCTTTGCCTCTTAATCAGAGGCAACTGCTAAATGAAGTGTATCTATTTTCTCTGCTACATTACTATTGGCAACCAGGTCCCCAGTAAGTGCCCAGAAATGTTTCCATGGTTACAAAAAGCATTCAGCATCCCTCTTGTTTTAGGCCAATTTAGTTGAAAATCTATTGTGGAGAAAAATATGGCACATTAAGGAACATAAAATCAAGACACAGCGTTATGAAAAGAATTCAAGGTTAAATGGGAAAAGCAGGCTTGACAAGGCTTTTTTAAAAGTGCATATAAATCACTGATTAAAATGCTGCCTTTTCCTAGCATATCTCCAAATACATCCCTGTAGAGACTGCAAAGCAGCCCATGTACTGTGTCTGACATGATCCCATGGTATAAAGGGGGAAATAAGCATGTGAAAATGGTTAACAAGCAGGTAAAATAAAAATTAAAAACACAAGATTCTGAACATTCATAGGACTGAGAGTCCAGTCCCTTATCCTACTGTCATAAAGTCCTGGGGTGTTTAAATATCTTAAGGAAAGAAAGGAATTAGGGGCTTTTGTCATTTTTGCTATAGGCATTGGGAGTGAATTAGTGGGCTCTATCACATCAGGGAGAGAGGCAACCTACCTAGTAAAGCTCCTCCATCTATAAAGTCACAACTGAATGGGGACACGGGACTGTCTCATTCTAAGTCCCTGCCTCATTCCCAACTGCCACTGCCACCAAAGAGCAAGGGCATCACACACATTTTTGCATCTTCTGGAACATATTAAGCAAATGGTGTAAGCTTTTCAATAACCTGAAGGACAGGCCCATGGCTTATCCTTGTATAAATACTGTCCATTCCCAGTACTTTGTACATGGTAGGCAATCGATTCTATTGGACTAACGGAGAAGGGCTATCATATAAGACCTCTCCTTACAGAGAAATATTTCTCTCATATTTACCTACATATACATACCATCCTTTATCATTTTCTATTGTTCTTATTTTCACTGTGAAATGGAGAGGAGTGGTGGGATTTTAAATCATAATGCTAGGAAGGACTAAGTGGAAGACTTTCTTTTCCAGGAAGATAGAATAGATGTTCTTTTCTCTATTATTCCCCCAGCTCACAACCAGAAAACCCTAAAACAAAGAAGAGAAGACCCAATAGTGCAAAGGAGAAGGCAGACTGGCGGGGGACCAGGGGACTCAAGGAAAACATGGTCGTGAGTGGCCTGGTTCTTTGCCTCCTAGAGCCTAGACTCGAAGCTGAAGAAGCTGGCAACCCTGCAATGCCAATTGGCACAGACAAAGAAAGGCCTCAAGAAAAGTCTGCTCTCTCTATGCAAAGGACCAGGGAAAGGGCAGCCTAGCTAAACAGAAAACTTTGGGACAATAAAATTCTACTCCAGCCAAACAGCACAGAAAACGCTGTGTTCTCTATCCCAATCCAGGCCAGCAGAGGCCAAGTGGAGAGCCTAGACTTGCATCCTCACCAGCCTGTAAGAAGGCATCTTAACACCCCCACCAGGGAATGCAGAGAAGGCTGTGTAGGGATCCAGGTCTTTCTCCTTTGATGGCCAGGAATGAGCATCTGCACCCTCCACAGTGTCAGAGGAGACCACATGGAGAGCCTGGACCCACGTCCACCTCTGCCCTTCCCAACTTGGGTGGTGTCAGAAGAGGACTGGTGGAGATTCCAGATTTTCACCATCGTGCAGCAGCAATAATGCTACCCTCAGCTCGATGTTAGTGGAGACCATGTGGGGAGATAGAACTCCCATCCCAACCCTGCATCGATGAGAAGCACCTCTTCAAATATTAAGGAAGCGAAGAGGGAAGCCTGGACTTCTACCCCCACCTACCAGTAATAAGTCCACCACCCTGCCAGTGCCCTGTCAAAGACTCTCTTTTTGAGATGCCTTTTGGGGGGAAATACATCAAAATAATGACAAGAATTTCTCCTTATATATTCACATTGATTTACACACTGCTTCTTTTTTCAAGCTACTATAATAGCTCCCTAACATTTATTCTTTCCTCCGATTTAGCCTCCAAACTGATGCCTGGGTTATCCTTCTAAAACAGAGCTCTCTGTTGGTGTCACTCTTGATTAAGATCTTTTTGAGATTGGCAACTTAAACAGAGTAAAACCTAAATCCTTAACACGAAAAGCAAAGACCTTCCCAATTGCAGCCTAAACTCTAGCCTCATGATCCATCCCTGAAAATACCTGGCTCGTCCACATGTGTGTCCGTGCCCTTTCCTCCACCGGAATGCCTTCTCCCTCCGTCCACCTGTTAAATTCCGACTGGGCTCAGATTTTGCAGTCTTACATCATCTGCTCTGTGGAACTTGCTCTGATCACCTCTGGCAAAATCACCCCCAAAGCTCTCATGTATGTAATTGTTATAACTCTACACAACTTTGTTATACAACTTGCAACACCTATTTCTTAGTCATTACAGAACTTAGTCTAACTATTACTTAAGGGAAAACCAAGATAATCATCTACACAGACAGACCCCACCCTCTGTAAAAAGAAAAAGAAAAAAGAAGACAAAAATTACAAATACCAGAAAATAAAGAGGGAGATCACTATAAACCCTACAAGCATTAAAAAGATAACCAGAAAATACTATGTCCATATATTTAACAACATAGATGCAAAGAAAAAATCCTTAAAAAACACAAGTTGGCACAAATGACTCCAGAAGATAGATAGCTTGAACAGTCCTATATTTACTAAAGAAATTGAATTTTTTTCTTTTTTTATTGAATTTGTTGGGGTGATATTGGTTAATGAAATTATATAGCACTCAGGTGTACAATTCTAGAGAGGACAGCTGGCACACTCCCAGGGAGAGGGCCAGGAGTCTTGCTGGAGACAAAGGCACCTCAAGAATCTCACCCAGTTCTTTGCCCTCTCCAGGAGAGCCCTGATCTGTGGCAGCTGTCTCTGAGGCCTTGGTATTCTTCCTAACCCCTTCTTTTCCAAGTCCTGAGCAGTGGGGCTGGTGATGGTGGCTCTTGTCCACAGGCTCTGGGTCTCCAGGGGTGTTCAGAGCTGCCCAGAGCCCATGTTCTGGCCAGACTCAGCTTTCGGGATGAGGTTTTGCCCCAGCCTGGTGCAAGTTTACAAGTTTTAAAGGTACAGTGCCCTGGTCTCCCTGGGAAATTGTGCCTCACTCCCACTTCCTAGCCTCAAAAGCACAAGATGGGTTCAGGCTGCCTCCAGAGTTGGGTCAGGGGAGAGATATCAGGCATCCTGGGAAGGGGATGTAAAGGCTAAAATAAAATAGACAAAAGTTTGTCAAGTTGAAAGTAAAATAAACTAAATTGAATTTATATTTCAAAATCTTCCCACAAAATAAAATTCCAAGGTCAGTTGGCTTCACTGGAAAATTTCTAGCAAACATTTAATAAATAAATAATATTAATTTAACACAAATGTGTCTCAACTATAGAAAAAGAGAAACATTTCACAACTCATTTTATAAGGCCAGCATTACCCAGACACAAAAACCAGAGAGAGAGATTGCAAGAAAACAAAACTACAGACTAATACTTCTAATGAAAATATATATTTTTAAAACCCTCAACACAATATTAGGAAATAATTTCAACAAACTAAACAATAAAAATAATATTATCTGCTCAAGAGATACAAAATAGCAATGGATAGCCTGGCCAGCATTGCCCAGTGGTTGAGCATCGACCTATGAACCAGGAGGTCACAGTTCGATTCCCAATCAGGGCCTCTGGGGTTGCAGGCTGGGTCCCCATTGTAGGGCATTCAGGATGCAGGCAATCAATGATTCTCATCATTGATGTTTCTATCTCTCTCTCCCTCTCCCTTCCTCTCTGAAATCAATAAAAACATTTTTAAAAAGATAAAGCTAAGAGGAGTCATGAAAATGCATAAAGAGATTATTAAATATTCCAGAAAAGTCTGCTCCTCCTAATAAAAGAATTAATTACTTCATCATTATATTACATAAAAGATCCAATAGTCTGTGTGAGCTATGTACACATCATACATACACACTCAACATCTTTCTCTGCATGGCATGTACCTCTCTGTCCCTAATCAGGTGGAATGTCCTTACTTCAGGCTTAGAGTATTAGAAGTATGAAAAATCTATGCCAGCACATACTATAGCTGCCTTTACAGAGTTAATTACAGTCTCACCATATTCATTTTACATTTATTGAAAGCCCATTATATGCTCCGTTCTGACAGGATAAAGCTTTATAGGCAGTTTGTTTTAAATATATCCTTTCCATTCAAGGCTAAAAGAAAATCAAGCTATTCTTATTTCAAAGATTTTCTATCTACTGTCATCTCACATCACGTCTCAGTGAAATACTGTGAGAAGTGTTCTTGGAGTGTTATCAACTAAAATTTTTTGCAACAAGTATGGCTTTCTGAACAGGATTTCACACTGAATAATATAGTAACATCTAGAGATTCCTAACCTAGTGAAAAAAAGAGAACAATTTAAAAGATATTTTAAAAAGCATGACATGCACAAGGGGCTTCTCAGACAGAACCCACAGACTCGTTTTCAACATTCTACTTGCTTGGAACTCTTGCTTTGGAATTGAGTCCCACAAGTATGGATATTCCAAAATTGTCTACATTGAAAATATCCCTAAGGATTACATCTCTCAATAAAAAGCCAGCATGTGGAAAGGTAGAAGAGAGAACAAAATGAAAGTCATGACAACTAAAACAAGTCAAAATAAAATGAGCAGAATTGTCCTTTGGAAGAACCCAGAGAAAATGACTACTGGCTAGCTTACCTTGCTTTTTTCCATAAACATTTTCTAAAATACCAGAGAGGTGGCTCTCAAAGTCATGTTGAAGGCCACTCCTTTGCTGTTCAAGGTGATGTTCTTCCTCAGCAATAGAAGAAAGCACATGTGGTGGCTTTTGGTCATCACAGGTCTGATTGGGCCACTGGGATATTATGGAACATGAGTCCTTTGCAGGTTGGCTAAGTCTAGGGCTTGAGCTTTGGGCAGAGTCCTGCAAATCACTACTGCAACAAGAAAAATGATCCACTTCAAGAAACAAGGAATGTGTGTCCTCTTGACTCCCGTCATTGATTTGTTCTTCAACTTCAAAGTACGTTTCCTGAATCTGAGTATCATCTAAGTCCTGGTCTAGCTTGTCATTCAACTTAGAGTCTTGTTTGCTTAAGTTAACCAACGAGGCAGATAACACATCCCCTGCTTGCTGGAGGGCTTCATACACCCGAGATATCCAGGAAGAGAGAGGCTGGAACAGGTTCTGAGTATCCTGAGACGCCATGGCCAACACCATGGCCAGTGATCTGATGTCTAAAAGTCCACTTGTTCAGTTCCTTCAGCACTGTGGAGTTAATATGAACTACAGAATAAGCAGGATGAGAAATTAAATTGGAAGTCTCTTAATGGCTGTGAATATTTCATGCTCAAAACTTCTCAGCTGAAACAGAGGAAAGAAACACTTACACCCATTAAAGTTACAACCTCAGACCCATCACCAAATGCCTACAATCAATGTCAAACAGCAGTTGGGGACAAAAAGAGATCATCATTGAAATCTTAAGACAGTTAAATAAAAATGACTATGAAAGATTAAATGTGAATTATTTCGATGCGTATTCACCTCCATGGGCATGTATAAGACTTCCATTACCAGTAATGGGCTCTATTCATGTGGACTGACAGAAGTCTAGCCTCACAGACTATACCTAACGGTGTGAAAAAAAATAAATGAATCTTCATTAAAAGGCACTTGGATATGACATTTTCAAATACAAGAAAGGCTGGATGCTCATGTGGACTGACAGAAGTCTAGCCCCACAGACTATACCTAACGATGTGAAAAAAATAAATGAATCTTCATTAAAAGGCAGTTGGATATGACATTTTCAAATACAAGAAAGGCTGGATGCTTCATCCACGAACATACAAATCCCAGAGAGCAGGCTAATAAGCATTTCTGCTTCATGACACAAAGATTTATCCTTTCAAAGGAAATGTATTGCCTGGAATTAAAAAGTTTTAACAAACGTAAAAGTAGGATTGTATATTTTTATGCAAGTTCTGGAAATTATATCTATTCTTGGGGAGCAAGCAATCACTGAGAAACTGAAGATGGCAAGTTTATTATGCAGCTTACTGAAGACACTAGTATTTATAGACCTTTGTCTATATTCCAACCTCTCCAAGATATTCCCCCACAGCCTATGAGACTCCAGAGAGACACTTCTTCCCATCAGATGCACAACCTGAAGGAGGCAGCTAGAGGACATCAACAAAGTAACAGGGAACAATGAAGGCTGGAGAACTAAATGTTATATTTTATATATATACATGTATTCAAACATATACATGCTACACATACCTATACATAATACACATACATATGTGTGTATGTGTATAGCCTTTAACTGCTCATCAACAGCTCAGGATGAGTGTTATAAAAGACTGCAGAGCCTAAATTCACTGCTTGTACTTAATTACCCATCTCTTTTATTGCAATAGCTTCCTTCTGACCAAATCTACCAGCAATCCCGTAAGTTTCAGCCCTCTTGATCCCAGGCTACTGCATTTAATATGACTGCCTATATTCTCCTAAAAATTTCTCTTTAGCTTTTGTGAAAATCATGCATGTATGCCTTGATTTGTTCAATAAACAAATATTGACTAAATGACTATTAAGTGCTGGGCACAATGCCAGGTATAAGGTAACCCTGAGGTCTCTGTCCCCATGGAGCCCGAATTCCAGTTAAAGGAAAACTGAGCTCTCTGCCCTTTCCCCTTATGCTGAATAATTCATGGGTCTGTCTTTCAGGTTCTTCCTCATCTCCCCACCAGCTGCGTATATGTAACCACTCATTTTCCTCTTTCCCTGGGAGAGTTGATCCATCCATAAGTCTCAATGAACACTTTTTTTAAAACTCCAAAATACACATCTCCAGTCCTTAGCTCCTCCCTCTTTTCAGGCTTGAATCTCTGGTTATCTAAGTCAGTGGCTCTCAAACTTCGCTATGTCAGTACCAACAGGTGAGAAAACACACACACACACACACACACACACACACACACACACACACACACACGAGGCCCAGGCTGTCGAAGGAATAAGTCCTGGACCTTTGTATTTCTTTTGTCCCTCTGACACCACCAAAGTTTCAGAAAAGATCTACACATAGGTATCTTACCAAACTCTCAAATTCAGCTCATCAAAACCTAGCACAGCGTACATTTGCAACCACAACTGTTCAACACTCTATACTCACAACATTCTAGTGATTGTAAATTTCTCTCTTAGACACTTCCCCATTTCACTTCAAGTTCTGCTAGTCTGGGGTCTGTGAAAACTGTCTTCCATTATCTTTTCTATAATGATCGCCATTCCCTGTTTGGTTTCCATCTCTAGCCTTCCCCAGCCTCAATCCATCCCCTAGGTTTGCTCAACATAACCTGACCTGGTATCAGGTTCATTGACCATCTCTTCCCCTAGAATGAAAGTTTCATAGGAGGGAGGAATAGTAAATTCTCAATAAATGAATTAAGAAATCCTACTTAAAATTGTGCCTAGGGCAGTATTTAACACATAGTATGCACTCAAATTTGTGAAATTGATGAATAAAACCAACACAGAATTGTTGAAAACACCTTCATGCTCCCACACAAATCCCCTGCTTGGTAACACTCAAGAGTTCTTTCAGCATTTGTTCCAGCCCATTTCACCACCCACAGTTTTTTAGTTTGTTTTTTCTCCACAAATATTTTGCTTAAGTTAATACGCTTCAGGGCATCCCAGACCCAGAATGTTCTCTGAAATCATTGGGTTTAGCTTCTACCACTGTCCTTTAGGTACTTAAAACTTTTAAAGACAGAAATGATATATATTCCTTAATAATCCAATAATCCTTTTTATTGTTTTATCACACAAAAAGAAAAATACTTTGTTTTCAAAATCTTTGAATTTAAGCCAGCATATTCTTCTCCAGTCTTTAAAATAGGAGCATCCATGCTCTCAGTCTCATATCTCCATGTTTCTATAATCTGTCTATTAAATACTCATGACAATTTAAAAATATATATATTGTATCACTTCCCTAGTTTAAAGAATTGTGGTTCCCTGTTTCTTATACTGCAACATTTGAGCACTGGCATATATCTATGCTTGTTGACACAAAGTCTTTAAAATTTAATTTTAATGTCTCGAATTCACTATAGTCCTCAACTTTCCCTGTTTTATGTACACAGTTGCTTCATTCATTTCTGTGTAGCTTCCTTACCCATGGAGGCATTTGCATTTTCAAATCCTACCCTATAGGATAAAATTTACATTCTTTACTAAGGTAAATGAGAGGAGAGATGCTCAAAAAAATTAATGATCAGCACCATGTAACTAGCCTAGAGGCCTCCTACAGGAATTAAGTTTAATTCCTGAATCACTGGGTGTGAGGAGTCTGGGGGATGCAACAAGACAGTGCAAGCGACCTTAGATCAGTGGCTATTTATCAACCAGGTGGAAACTATTTCTACATTTTCACAACTCATAGAGCCCTCCCTTTTGTCCTGAATGGATGTGCATGAGCTGTCCCCAGTAATACTGCCCCATAGTGGGGACTCAGCCACTCCTCACCACTCATCACTCTACAGCCACACTAACACGCTCAGCATTTTCCAAGTGACTGCTCTTTCCTGACTTCTGTTTACTCTGCCCTGATGCCTTTTCTCCCTACACAGCCTGGTAAATACTCCTGTTCATTGAAATTCTTGTGTCGACTCTTCATCCACAACCAAGGGTGTGGCCTCAAGTGCTTTGAATGTGCTTTTATGATATAAAGTTTCACTTGATGTGGTAACTATTTGTCAATCTTCTTACTCCAATGAACTATGAGACCATAAGTGCTGGGACTATGTTTATACTTAATAAGTCCAGAACCAACACAGGGTAGGGACCCAATAGGTATTTGCTGAATGAATGAATGAGTGAATGAATGTTATTAATGAAAATGTTTGAAGCCAAATAGTCCTGATTCTTTAACTTTTCTTCATCTGTAAAGTGAAGTTAAATTACTAGATAACCTCAAACAGTTCATTTCTGATTTGAAACCCAAGAATTTACCAGTGTGGACCAGAAAGTACTGTAATATTGATGCTGGATATACCAGTATTCAGCAGTAAATTGCCTGCTCAGGCATTGGTTCTGTACTTTTGTCAATAACCACTGCCAGATTATCTCAGAGTGACTGGAAAGAGGCCAAATCTCAGTCTATATATGAAACAGTGTTCAGCAATTATATTCCAAAATACAAAAAAAAGGGGGGGGGGAAGGGCACCTACAACTAGAACCTGGAAAACGATCTAGTTAGCAACACCTTTCATATTTTGCTAAAGCAGTCTAAAGCCAAAAGGGCTATGCCCTGAAGCCCTGGCATAGTAACCATGGAGATATCTTTGCTGTGTAGGTAAATTTCAATTTGATTGAGAGAGCACGCCAAGGGTGATACCAGATATATACCTGGTAACCTGGTTCTTTGGGGCTTTCTTACAGTTGAGAAGACAAAGTGGCTTCTTGGTATTGTAATAATAATTTTTAAAAATGAGAAAAGAAAAATAGACAAAAAACAGTCTGAGTCCTGGATTAAAAGGAAAAATACATATAATGTCTGTGGTAGTTGAGAAGGCTCATTATTTGAATTAAAAAGTTCATGATATAACCAATGGACATAAGACACTGGGGGGTAGGGGAGGCCAGGGGATTGTCAAG